TAGTCTAGATTATCAGATCCAATGTCATTAACGTGCTATCCTCGATGTAGAGTCTCTGTCTAGATTTTCTTCTACCTGTGATATTTATTGGCCACGCTATGTTCTATTTTGAAACTGTGTTAAAGGAATTGTGGTGAATAATAAATTATACTAAATCCTGTTTGGATAAATACATATTTGTAAAAACATTTTTAGGCATAGTAACAAAAAAAATAGAAAAACGATGTATAAAACCCTTAGACTAATCATTTTTTGAATTGGTTACTACGAAAGTTCGAACCAAATCTAAACGCCATTCGTTAGATTTTGCATGTTCAATAAACAAACAAAAGTACAAATGAAAAGTTAGACAAACTAAAAGTGTAATTCAGACTACGGCGTTATTTATGTCAAGGATTACCAAGGATCTCACTTTCTTTGTCGCGAATTTGTAGAAATTTATTTTCTTGAGTCCCATATAAGGAAAAATAAATGTATCTCGGTCCGCAAATCAGTTAAACTTATTGCCAACGGCCGTACCATGCTGAATATACCGGTTCTCGTTAGATCACCGAAGTTAAGCATCATTGGGCGCGGTCAGTACTTGGGTGGGTGACCACCTGGGAAAAATGCGTGTCGTTGGCAAATTTGGGACCTGAATGGCCGAGTGTCTAACGCTCTGGCGCTCGGTGCCACAGGTTTCGGGTTCGAATCCCGGCGGTGCCATGGATGTTTGTAGTGGTTCGGAATCCACTTTAAGCCGTAGGTCCCGGTCTTCAATGACTGTAAGAGCGTCACGGGGCAAAAGTCAGGCTTCTACCTACGGGTGCTCCATCACAACAGAAGCTGCTTCCTTCCCCTTCAATCATGAGTCCATATGGGCTTGTGGGCTTGGCCAGCCAAGTGGGATAAGAAACAACAAACAATTTATTTCTTTTTAATTGAAAAAATATAAACTAAAAAAGTATATTATTTGCATTCTGCTAACGGGAAAGGTGTTTTAGATGTAAAAACAGTTCTGCAAATTATCGGCTTATACACGGAAATATAATGCATATCTATTTATTAGTAATAAGGTAAAAATTATTAAATTCAATTATATAAAATTCAAATCTATATAACAAGAAAAAAAAATGCCGTAAAATAATAATGGTTTTTAAATAATTGTAATAGTGGTTAATTTTAATAATTAACATAAGAAATTTCTCAAAAAGGGAAAATTTATTACTTGGATTATAATTTTAAGAAAATCTTGTATTTCATGTGGGGTACGATCAATTACAAAGCTCAACTGCAAATTGAACAGCTATAATCATTGTTCTATGACAGCAAAACGTTTTAGCAGCAGAGAATAAAGATTTTAACATAAAGATATATTTTACTAGAAAAATTATAAAGGAATAATTAATACTAATAATTTCCTACTTATTTAAAATTTAAAAAAAAATGAAAAGTTATGCTTATGCAAAAAATATTTGTTTTAATTTTTTCCTAGAATTTTCTGTGCACTTTCGTACTCAAAAATGCTTTTATTGTACTGAATTTACTTTTCCCTTCAAAATAAATTTTTAAACTTTTCATACGATAAAGACTAAATCTTTCATATCTTGAAAAATATATTCCTTAAAATATAAAGACTACCTATTGAATTAATAATTTTAAAGCAGCTTTTCACATTTAAAAATATCTTTCTCTAACCTTTTCCCCCTTAAATTTTTTTTTCTCTCATCATTTTTAAACTTCAATCAATTATTCATTAACCAAAATCCATATACTTATCCGCTATTCGTATTTATTATAAATAAAAATATTGGACAAGTGATTTGGGAAAATACTAAATTACACTTTTCCAGGAAAGAAGGAAAAATATCTAAATAAAAGAGATGCGAATATTTTCTTTCAAAACGTCTTTAAAGAGAAAATATCAAAAAGTAACTTCAAAACAAAAACAAAAATGTGGTTTGAGATGGAAATAAATGTAAAGAAAGAAAAAAAAATGCTTATTGAAAACGTCGGAAAGCTCTTTTTTATATTGGAAACAAAATGAATGCAGATTCTCGAAGTAAGCTCCAATTTCTTATTTGGTTAACGCTTGTTAGAATATTATGCAATGCTTTAGAATTATGGCTTGCAAAAGTTAGTAGCAAATTAACTAGTCCAATAAACTTTAATTACACTTCACTTAAGGGTGTATTTAAAGGATCGGACATTCTTTTAATCATATGCTGCGAAGTTTTGAATTTATTGAACATAAATAGATTTGGAATATTTTTTACAATTTCTGTAACTAAGATATTGCGAAATTTTTATGATTCTCTCTATCTATTATTCGGAATTTTTGTACTCGTCATTTTTTTCACAGATTTCAGAATCACTCAATATAGGGCTGGGCATAACCGTTTTGTTTTTTTACATATCTCTTACTTATCTTTATTAATTTTTACTTATTTTAATCTATGTTCAACAGATTATTCCAATTCTAATGTAGGTGGAGTGCAGAATACTTATCATATACTCTTTTAGCTGTTCTAGACCATAACACCTGAAGATGAATTTTAAGAAACGAACTGGCACTCCAGAAACTCAAAAACATTTTGATAATTTATTAATAAGAAACCGGCTTTTACAGCCTTTTTTCCAGAATTTCCATTCTGCAGAATCTTTATACTCATCTTATTTTCAACGATTTCAGAATCAACTCAATTTATGGCTAACAGGACTTTTTTAATTTTTACTTAAACAAATTTTATTTATGCTGAATGGATTATTGCAACTAACTCAGTTGTTGTGACAGAAAACAACAATGTTGTGCACGAACTGATAACGCAGGATAGTCATGGGACATAACATTAGATTGAGGTGTCTTTAAGTATAAATATAAGGAGCACACACAAACTTAGTTGACGTTGGGGAGCAATTTGTTGGCCTTGGATTCCGCGTGATTGGACAATCGCTCCAAAAAGGGTTCATATTGATTGGTGCAAAGAAATGCTTCAAAAATACAATCGTGGTGCTTTAATAGATGAATCATTGGATCTATGTGGATGATCCCGAATGAATCTTGGTGACGAATCAATACGGTGAGGAATCTTGGACCTATACGTATATAAAGTAGTCTACTCTAATCTTGGACCTATACGTATATAAAGTAGTCTACTCTAATCTTGGAAATATACGTATATAAAGTAGTCTATTCTAATCTTGGGCCTATAAAATATAAATTAACCTACTCTAATCTTGTACCTATAAAATATAAAGTAATCTACTCTATGGATCTTTCAAAGTGAGCTAAATCCACAGAAGTTGTTAGCGCTAGAAGCACTTCGAAGCAAATGGTCCCCTGGTTTTTTTTGGAGGGGAGTGGTTATATTTATATATGGCTACCATAGCACTAGAGAATCATCAAACGATCAATAATGAATGGTATACAAGCGTTTGTTCGCGTCTTTGGAGAAACATGAAACACAACTGGCAACGCAGGATTATTTTGTATCTTACCAACGCGAGCTCAAACAACTCAATATTTAACATATCAAAACCTCGAATTTAGGGGTCATCTACCATACAGCTCGGATACGGTACCCAATGATTTCCTTTTGTTCCTGTACGTGAAGAAAAAACTATGTTGTCAACGATTTTCAATGCCAGAAGAAGTGTTTGACGCGTTCAAAATGCATGCTACTGAGATACCTCAATGGAAATAGCAAAACTGCCAAGAAAATTGGGTCAAAATTGGTCGTACGCAAATGTATGTTGATCATCACGGATAACATTTTTGTAAAGCAATAAAACAATTTTTAATGAAGAAAAGATTTTTATTATTGTGGATTTTTGTTATAGCCCTCATCAAACACCTCCAATTTTCAAACTTTAAATGTTTCGGAGGAGTTTTAATTGCTACACAGTATATAAATTTATATGAATAAACAATTTCTCAGCTGCTTACACCGCAAGCAAATGTGAGGCGCGTACTACAAAAAGTTCTTTCGGAATACAATGTCTCATCATACTCTTTTTGCCAACCGATAGTGGTATTGTTTGGTATATATGAGTTAAACATAAAAGCCAGCTGTGCAACAGAAAAACCTACATTTTATTTCTGGATTTACTGATTTTATTTTACTTCTTGCAACTATAGATTTTAAATTCTTTCAAGTTTTCTTTATACAATCTCCTACATGTTAAAAACTGAAAATCTTTCACGACATTTAATCTTAGTTCTGCCAAAACTGTGCAACATGTAACGCATTCTTCGCATAATCTGCTTAAATTAATAGTTTTTGCAACGCTTATAGATAAAAAAAAAATGAGAGACTTAAAGTCTGAGAGATTATATTTAACGCCTCCAGCATCAAGAGTGATTTTAATTATTTTCAGACGCTTAATTATTATTTATTCTTCCAGCTTTATCAGTGCCTCATGTACAAAATATAATTAATTTTTGGCAATATTTTGTGGGTGTTTAATTAAATATTTATTGTTTGCCGCATACTTCAAAAGTACGCTTGACTTCTTATAGTGTCAGTTTTCTCGGCCAGTTAGTTAATTAAAATTAGGAAAATGGATTATTTCTTCACGAAATGCTTGTAAACAAGCCTGTTTAAAATGTTTTTCAGTTTCATTAAAATAGTCTTTGTAAATAAACGGTTTAAAACTTAAATGCATTACCCCTTATTACTGTAAAACAAGTGTAAACGAAGGCTTTATGTATATATATATATATATATATATACATATATGTATATATAATTATCGACTCAACAATAATTAAAACGATATAACTTTGCTTTACAGACATTTTTCAGAACAGTCATATTTCCTTAAATCTCTATTGTTATTGTTAATTTGCAATCTCGTTAAAGAAGTAAAAAATTTTGATTGTCTGTTGGTTTAAGACAATATTTATTTATTCATTTATTTATCCTTTGGTTTTTATTTATATATTTCCTATTTAGGATAAAACTTTTATTTATTTAATTATAAAATATATGAATTTTTATAATTTTATTTGCTTTTTATTACATTCTGAATTAACTACATTCAATTCTATATTTTAATATAAAATTCTTAAATATATATTAGATAGAATTATTTCTACATATGTACTTGTCTTCAATACAGAAAGATTTGAAATGAGCAAAATTTAATTCATAATTCGATGAAAATTTTGTTTAGATTTTTTCTGAATTAAATCGATTATGGCCTACTAGCAGATTTCTAGACGAAAGATGATTTCTTTTCACTGAGTAGGGCTGTCAACACTGCGACCGCGGCTCTACAGCCATATTAGGCTGGGACCTACGGTTTAAAGTGGTTTCTGAAACGCTACAATCATGCATGTTACCGTCTGAACTCGAATTCGGAATCTGTGGCCGCGAGCGCCAGAGCGCTAGTCACTTGGCCATCAGGCCCACAGATGAAAATATAGAGGATTTAAATCTAGGAAATCTGGAATGTTTTATTGTTCTTCAACTGCAGATGGCGTCTATTGCTGTTTTAATAAATAAGGAGATTCGATAGGGATTGTCATAACCAGTTGAGAATACGTCCACAATAAAAATATTGTATTAAAGGAAATAAAAAGTCACAATTAAAAATATATATATATATATATATATATATATATATATATTATTTTTAA